CAAAGATAGATCTTTAAGCGGTAATTCGCACCACCATCCTTCACAGGTAGCCACCGTGGGTAAATTTTGTTTCAGAGAGCACGAAGAATCTGTGACAGTAGACAACCTCACCGCCGAGCTCCAACACCTCAAGCAAGTTTTGCAAGAAAACAAGCTTCCGGTCCAGCTCCTACGTTACAGTGAACGAGTGAAGCCGGTCACAGTCGAGCGTATGCCTGCTGTACTGCCATATATCAGTAGTGTCACTGACAAGAATGGCTACATCTTGAAGCGTGCTTCCATTAAAACATACTTCAAGCCGTCGGAGATGATTAGTCAGTTTTTACAGTCGGTTAGATGATTAGTCAAGTGTAAAGTCCCTCTACAAGACGCAGGAGTGTACAGGCTTGATTGTGAATATGGTCTTTCTTACATAGGACAAACAAAAAGATCAATAAAAATCCACGTTAAGGACCACATAGCTGATGTGAAGAACTGACGATCCTAAAGTCTGCAGTCTGTGAACACGTACAATATCGCCTCTGATACTACATCAGATTTAATAGAGCACATATCTTCGCCAAAAAAAAACCGACTCTTTCCAAGGACGATACGCGAAGCTATTGAAATCAAAAAACATCCCAATTTTAATAAAGATGGCTGGGTGCTACTATCTGCTTGGCATCCTATAATTAATAAAATTAAATCCCAACCCAAGCATACAACTGCAAGATTTCAAGATATTATAAGTTTATACTACGGAAATCGGAACAAAAATTAACAATTTTAATCTAGAGGTAGCGCTGGTTAACTCTGATATTGGGACGTCGAACGCCTCAGTCTCTCCCGTGAGTATTGGTGTTGTAAAGTGCTTGGAATGTCGGGAATATAACATATGTTAATATAGGCGATAAAATCCCTAAAAATTAGTTTTAACTAGCCCTGTTGATTAACATTATAAAATACAGAATGTCTTTTGCCAATGTACACTTTTAAGTCGTTTCAATTTCCAGATGATCACTGAATTCAAAATTCCATTAATATATTTCTACTCGTCTTTATTATGAAAATATATTTGAAATTAATATTGTCATCTTAAATATTTACCATACTTTTGCTCTAGAATCTATTCATTTTAATTACATATAAAGAAATATATATATATATAGATGTAACTGAAACCAGAGGCGATATCGCCGCAATCAAATATTTACGTGCCAAAGCTATGGTGCAGCTATAGAAACAGAAACATAACAGAAACTTTTATTCAATGTAGTTTATAAATAATACTTATTGAAAGTCAATTTTTTCATTTACCACTGGATCGCAAAAAAAAACCTCTGTCCTGGGAAGAACCAGCAAGAAACCCAGAGGGACTTTTTTTTTCAAATAATAGCTTACAATCATGTTTACAATTAACAAGACAAATTAAAAATAGCTTGGTAGCGATTACCCTTCCAAGGGGTTGTTATCATCCATAAATTCCTTAATATTATAATAACCCTTTTTATACAAACTTAGTTTAGTAAAATTTTTGAACTTTGCGTACGACAAATTTTGTATATATTCTGCGATTTTGTTGTAAAAGCGTATACACCGCCCCAAGAATGAATTACTGACTCGGTGGAGTCGAGTAACTGGTACTACTAGCTTGTGTCTGTTCCTAGTATTTACAGAATGAATATCACTTATTTTTGCAAAACTACGTTTATTCTTGTGTACGTACATTACATTTTCATAAATGTATTGAGAGGCCAGCGTTAATATATTAATTCCCTTAAATTTTTGTCTCAGTGACTCTTTTGGTTTTAAATTATATATTGCTCTAACGGCCCTTTTCTGTAAAATAAATGTATTTAATTAATAAATATATTTTATAATTTCAGTGTCAGTCACGTGTCCCCATAGCAAAATACAATACGACATAATGGGTGCGTTTGGCAGAAAAAAGCGCTAGCAAGCGCTTATAAACGCTAAAGTAGTTTTCGGCCAGGACACGATTGCTACTTCAGTAGCGCTGTCACAATCCGCCATTTTGCTTATTTAATTTGTTTGTTTTGAAGTAGAGTTTATAAGTTGTTTTCCGCAATATTAGTTTTAAGTAATATAATGACATGAATAAACATATACATGTTATTAAAAATTCATGATTGTTAAGTTTTTAATATGAATACTTTACAAACATATATTTAAATTAGATTAGATTCCCTGGTTAAAACTAACATCGTGTCCTGGAGGAAAATAGCTACTTACGATTTGACAGCGCTTACCGCTTACGATCGCCATTTTGCTTACAAACGCTTGCTAGTGCTTTTTTCTGCCAAACACACCCAATGCTATGAAAATAACTAAAGCAAACTATTCTAGCTGTTTCAACACTGGTTCTTACCAGTTCTAATCTTTTTTACAGCATATGCTGCAGAACTAAGTCTGCTAGCTAGTTTTGATATATGGGGGAGCCAATGAAGCTTTGAGTCTAGTGTGGTTCCAAGAAAAATGCTGGTATCAACAAGACTCAGTTCTTCCCCATTTAAAATTACATTCGTATTAAGATGTTTGACATTAGGAGTTACGAATTTCATACATTTCGTTTTAGTTCCATTTAAATGCAAATTATTAACAATTATATATACCAATTAATAATTATATATATCAATTGGTTTATATAATTATATATATATATATATATATATATATATATATATATATAATTATATAAACCAATTGGCTAAGTTAGCCAATTGGTTTAATGTTAGCATTATTTACTTCGTCGTAATTTAATAACTGTCGTTTTAATTTTAAAATTAATGAAGTATCATCAGCAAATAATACTATATCATGGTTATCCCCTACTATGTAAGGTCATTAATATATACAATAAACAGAAACGGGCCGAGAATGGACAATACGACAAAAAATAAATTGTTGAAATAAAAAATACCAGTTCTAGATTAACCTCTCGAGAATTCAGGAAAAATACTTTGAAATTTTTAAAAATAATATTTTTGGAGAAAAAATTAAAAATTAAGAATGCGCCGGTGACGTCACACCTCAGTATGAATGTGAATATTTCCTTTGCTCGCGTCGTCCACGACTAAAAAAGTATAATTCCATCAAACGTCACTGTCAAACTGTTGTCACAGAGTACTTTGTATATCATAGTCAGTAATCTATGCAAACTACGCTTCAGTTTCTCTAGTATGCGATTAAATGCGACGCAGTAATCTATGCATCAGTTCAGTTTTTTTAACTATCAGCGCCGGAGCAATGTATACAGTTCGTGTGTAGAAACGACACGAATTCTTGCATAGACCCAACGACTTTTCTTAGCATTCTTAGCCCTTACAGCCCTGACAAAATGTGACCGCCATGCAGTCTTTAGATGAGTTTAAACAAGAAAATAAAAATATTTCACTTACCTATGTAAGACAAGGATAAAATAATATTGATGATTTACAATTATTAATCTTTTGATAATAACAAATATTTTAATCAAAAACAAGTTAAACAATAAATAAGCTCCTGTAAACAAGTGCAATGTAAAAACCGCAAATAATAATTTCATTCTGATAATAATTGGTTATCCATTTATTTCCCTGATTTAACACTATAAAGGAGACGGCCTAAAATTGTATGAAGCATAAGCCTACTTTGTACTGGTAGGGAAATAAATTGAAATAAAATATTGAACCACTTTTGATTATTCAAATTCATGAATTTGCCTTTATTTCGTTGGTGCTATTTTATTCTTACCAACTGTGACGGATAGATGTCGTTTCATCGTTAACTGTCAACTGCCATGATCCATTTATTGACGGCTATTTGAATTGAACACAATAATGCATTCATGAGCTCACAACTACACGACCAAGCTCGAAATAAATAAGAATATCACGCCACCTATATTATTTCATGACTTAAGTCACTTATCTGAAATGATGAGTGGAAGGGCGCCATCTTGTGTAACCATCAAAAACTTGGGATTGCATTTTTATTTTTAGCAAGTTATTTAGTTTCATTTATTCTCTTACTTCATTTTCAATAAAATCCCTGAATTTTCCCCTTTTTTTATATTTCTCCCTTTGTCTCTATATTGTATGCTAGTAGTGGCGGTGTAAAAATAGAATGATTTTAATTCAAAATTACCAAACTTATGAAAATATACACAAAACACATTGAGTCATTAACGCTTTTATCACTAGTTTCAAAAAAGTTTCAGTCCTGGGTAGAATACAAGCAAGAAGTCAAAACAGGTCATTCAAAATATGTTATTTACAATATAATGTCTAAGTGTATTAATTTAGTGTTCTGTGGCCTCGACTGCCTCGACGCGACGCATCGCAAGAATCTCTGGTATATAGAATATTATCTATGGCAAGAACATGCGAATTGATTCGCATCCAGTGTTGCCAACTGCTAGCTTTACCCAGTAGCTCTAGACATTTTCAAAATGTTGCTAGATTTCCAGTTTTTTTTTACCCTAAAAATTTGCTAGAAGTTGCTAAATGTTACAGTAGATAAGTAGGTTACAATAAAATGCCAGTTTCTGATAATCATTTTTATTCATTAATTCCAACGAGTAGTTAAATTAAGTCCTGTGTACGCAATTGAATAAAAAATAAAAAATAAATTAATCAATTAAAGAAGAAGATGTCGATGGCTGTGATTCAGTTTCTTTCATTGATTTCGAATATTTTTCAACGGTGCCCATTTTATACAGTACGTCTTTAGGCAAAACACAGTTAAAGCAGCATTTACCACTTTTCCTGAGGGAGTCTCTAATGCAGAGGATTGAGTTCAGAGTTTTCAAACTCATTCTGTTTCTTTACTTATTTTTAACTAAATTCATTCGAGAGAATAACATTTCTACCTCTGCATTAGAATGTGGCAGTGAAAGGCAAGTTAAAGCAAGAGTACTTATATCTTGATAAATTATATGTTGTCACCGGGAAGAATTTCTAATTTTTTTTACTTCGACCCAAAACTGAACTATTTCTTCAGAATGCCATTTATTGTATTATTTATATATGTAGAATGTGCCACTGTTGCATTATCTTGTCTATTATTTCTGGTGTAACACCCAAAATTTCAGCAACCTCGATGATAATGTTTGATTTGATTTGTTTTATTGCCTCCTCTGGACTTAACAACGCCATTGATTCTAGCTGCTTGTAGTTGTCTGGAAGCCTTTGTTGCAATTCCTTAAGTAATTGCAGTAAGAAGGTGGAGCAGTGTTGTCGTATTGCATTTAAAATTTCGGAGTCTAAATTATGTTGAGCAGTTTCAAACATATAGCCAAGATAAGGCCTAGGGTTAATATCCCTGTCAGTTATTGGATCTAATAAGTTTCTGTTTACAGGTCTTGGCATTAAAATTCTCTGGCTCACTGATTCTATCAGTGTTGTGAGTGTATTGAGAAGTTTTAATGGATTAGAGTTTTCACTTTCAAATGATTTAATTGCTGTTTGAACATCATTTAAAACGCTTCTCAGAAACACAAAATATAAATAATTTCTTTTGCCTTTGAGCATGTTGTAAATAAGCTCAGCTGAGTAGCAATTGTCTTTCACACTTGCTAAATTAAATTGAAATTGAAAATCAATTCTTCCCATTGTGTCACAATTTTTGTTATCGCTGGCTCTATTGAAAGCCAACGTATATCGCACACCTTGGTGATTTTCAACGGACTTTCGCCACAGTTTATAAGTTCGTACATTTTTGGAGACACAGAAAACCATTTATAAATTTCTCTAACCAAAAACTCGAAATTTCTTGGCAGAGTATTTTCGGCAGCATGAGTCACTGCTAACTGCAACGAGTGGCAGACACATCGTATCAGTATCAAATTTTCTATACCATATTCTCTTTTTAGGATTGCATGAACCCCGTTATTAATGCCTGTCATAACAGATGCATTATCAGTTCCAATTCCAATCATTTGTTTGATATCTATTTGTGACTCTCTAAGCATGATACCAAGCCATTAACGATTCCCCTAGTACCTGCACTCAATAGAAACTAGGTCCAGGAATGAGCTTACTATCCTTTCCTGTGCGGCACTATAATACCTAATTACAAGACCAAGGTGTTTACTGACACTGACGTCTGTGGACTCATCCATTATAATGCTAAACTTTTGGTATCCAATATCATCTAAGAGCTCCTTGCGAAAGTGCGGCATCAGCACGTTTTTCATTATTTCTGTACATTTAGTGCGATACAATTTAAGCTCCTGTGTAGCTTTGGAGTCTTTGAAAAACATTTTGCATAGTTCACCTAAATGGTCAACACTTAATATAATAAACTCATAATTTTGATTTATATTTACACCAGGTGAGGGCTTTAAGTATACAATATCATCAATTTCAACCCAAAGGAAAGCACCTTTAACATCCATTTGATGAATTAAGTAGTTTTTTTTTAACTATAATAAACTTAATACTGTTGTATTAAGGCTATTATAGTTAATGAAACGAATGAAATTTTAAGCCCAAGTTTATATTAATAAGTTGAAGTGACATAATCTGCTTGAATCATTAATAATAAACAAACTGATGGCTATTAGATGAAGAGAACTTGGCACTCATCATCTTTTTTATTTCGAGTGACAATCCTGTTGCCATACCCGCCCTTGCGTCACTATATTAAATTATTATATTGCAATGGGTGATAACGTTCCAGATTTTTCTTTTCATCAAAATATTTTATTACGTTATATAAAATACAATGTAGTAATTTTTCGCGTTTTTACCCCATTGGTAACAGTATGTAGATAAGTTAATAAAAGAAAAACACAAAATAACGTAATAGTCAATAAAAACTAAATAAATAACAACGCTTTACAATAAAGAATAAGATAATTAATAGCTTAATCACGCTATACTTTGCGAAAATACATATTTATGAAGTATAATAATCTAAGATATTGTTACGACTACGGTTCGTGACAATAAAAATTGCCGATAGAATTACCTAAATTAACACTTTAATTTTCTTTACACAAATTAAAACTTAAAACACTAATAATTAAGCACACTAATTCACTTTATTCCGCTCCGAAGCTTCGCTTGTCTCGCCAAATCCAATACTTCCTCGATCGCATCTTGCAGCGCCTATTTATATAAATTAGCAGCGAAATATCCAGAATATTCAAGTAAACACGCGCAAGGTACCGAGAGTTCGTGTTTCAACTTCAAGAAGTTTAGTTCTTCGGTTCGAGACTAGATGGCGCTAGTGCCGTCGACTTGAGCGCGTAACACTACCCCCCTCCTAAGACATGTTCGTCCCGAGCATTATCGGCCCCATAATAACGCGCCAGGCGATCCACATGACGATCTTAGGAGTCCCTCTTGCGCCTTTCTGTATCCGATAGGTTACATCGTTGATCCTGGTCACAATCCGGTACGGGCCGTCCCATTTAGCTTGAAGCTTAGGAGATTTCCTTTTGCTGCGGACGGGATTATGCAACCACACTAGTGAACCTTCGTCGAACGTCGAACTTTGTTGTTCATTTTGCGGTCGTACCGGGTTTTCATCTTTTCAGACATTTGCTGGCCCGATTGTCTGACGTGCTCATAAACGTCATTCATTTTGTTCCTGCATAATCGGTTATACTACTTGGAGCATCAGGTGGTATCCCGGTGATCAGGTCTGCAGGCAGCCGTAATTCTCTTCCAAAGTTTGCGAAAGCTGGTGTCACGGCTGTACTTTCGTGAACAGCGCTTCGATATGACAACAAAAACGGTTGTATGTGCTTGTCCCAATCTCGTTGCCAATTGTCTACAACTTTTGCTAGGTACCTCTCCAATGTCTGATTAAATCGTTCTACCATTCCATCAGATTGCGGGTGATAAGAAGTCGTTCTTGTTTTATGAGTACCCATAACTCGGCAAGTTTCCTGGAATATTTGAGATTCAAAATTTCTTCCTTGATTGCTGTGAATCTCTAAAGGTACTCCAAAACGACAGAAGACTTCATGAACTAGTTTATCTGCAACTGTTGAAGCTTCTTGATTTGGAATGGCGAAGACTTCTGGCCACTTAGTGAAGTAATCCATCACAACCATGAAATACTTGTTACCACTTTCACTCTCCGGAAACGGCCCCGCCACGTCAATGGCTATTCTCTCCCATGGTGCACCAACATTGTACAACTTCAATGCACCTCTACTACGAGTCTGAGGTCCCTTTACAGCCGCACAACTTGTACATTTGCGACACCAGTCCTCGACATCGTTTCGACAGTGGACCCAGTAAAACCGTTCTCGGATCTTCAGTAGAGTTCGTTTAACTCCCAGATGGCCTCCTGAATAATCATTATGGTACAGCTGTAGAAGATCCGGTACTTTAGCTTTAGGGACAACCATTTGTAAATGACAGCTGTCTCCCCGAACATTTTACCATTTACAGCACAGAACTCCATCCTGAAGCAGCAAGCTGTCCCACTGGGCCCAATAGCTTTTAGTGGTCGAACTCATCGCTGAGACGTCGCTCTACTTGGGCTTGAGAGCACTGGCCTTCATCCATTCCAGGATCGGCCGGACCATGTCCGGATCTTCCTGCTGTGCACGTTGTAAGCTGTCCTTCCACTCGTTGCTGAGATGGTCTGCTATGAGCATCCTCACGGATACCACTTCCTTACTATCCTGCCTAGTACAATGTTTGCAATCTTCAGGACAAGGTCTTCGTGACAATGCATCTGCGTTGCCGTGAGATTTCCCGCTGCGATGTTCGATCTCAAAGTCGTATTCTTGCAGTAGTTCAATCCACCTCGCAACTTGTCCTTCTGGATTTTTAAACTGCAATAGCCATTTTAGTGCAGCATGGTCAGTTCTTAAGCGAAATTTTCGTCCCAGAAGATATTTGCTAAAATGCTGCAACGACTTTACCACAGCTAGCAATTCGCGTCTTGTGACACAATAGTTCCTTTCCGGTTTTGACAACGACTTGCTGAAGTACGCTATCACGACCTCTTGGTCACAATTCCGTTGAGACAACACACCGCCAAGTCCTATATCACTTGCGTCTGTGTCAACTATAAATTCTTTGCTTGCATCAGGGTATCCCAAAATAGGTGTTTTGCACAAACGGTCCTTGAGCTCCTGGAATGCGATATTGCAACTTTCATCCCAGCAGAAATGTCGCTTCTCCTCGGTTAGCTTATGCAGAGGTTTGGCTATATCTGCAAAGTTCTTCACAAATCGCCGGTAATAGGATCACACTCACTCGTCTGCTCGCTCTCACTTCACTGCGTCTTGTCTTTTGGAACCGGCCAATCCTTTACAGCTGCGATCTTCTCTGAATCCGTGCGGATACCTTCTTCCGACACTACATACCCCAAAAAGTTGACTTGCCGTTTGAATAGTGAACATTTCTTCGGACTCAACTTGAGGTTGGCACTCTGAATCTTCATGAGCACGCGTTCCAGGTTTTTAATGTGTTCCTCAAACGTACGGCCCACGATGATGATGTCATCCAAGTAGACCAGACAGGCATCGCCAATTAGCCCGGTAAGTACAAGTTCCATCAGCCTTTCAAACGTTGCTGGAGCATTGCACAACCCAAACGGCATTACTTTAAATTGCCACAGACCCTTTCCCGTCGAGAGCGCAGTTTTCTCCTTGTCCTTAGGGTCAATTTCAACTTGCCAGTAGCCACTTTTTAGATCCAGCGTGCTAAACCACTTTACTCCTGTAAGCATGTCCAGCGTGTCGTCAATTCTTGGCAAGGGATAGCTGTCCTTCTTAGTAACACAAAACCGCATGCTGCCATCCTTCTTCTTTACCAGTACCACGGGTGAACACCATGGACTAGATGAAGGTTCAATAACATCATCCTTCACCATTCCCTCAATCATGGTTTCCACTTCCTTTTCACGTGCTACCGGCAATCTTCTTGGCCGCTGACGGATAGGCAATTCTTTACCTGTGTTTATTTTGTGTTGAACTAAGCCAGTCTTTCCTATGTCAGCATCGTTTGATGAGAATACATCGGCATACTTGAGTAACAACTTCTTCGCCTTGACGAATTTGTTCGGGGAGAGAACACTGCGACAGTCTTCCAAAAGTGTGATCACTCTCGTTTCTGAATCCTTGCTGGGGGTCCCACTCGATATATATTGGCATCGACGTAACCAATCCACTTCCTCACAAGTACCAACCAGTGTGCCTTTTTCTATGATCTGTTCCTGGCCACAAAGGTTTAGCACACGTACTCCTGAGATGTTAGTGGTTCTGACCAAGGTTCGAGCCACTTTCCATGGAAGGTCATTTTCTAACCTTTCCACGAGTACACAACGATGAGGTTGCCCAGGATTCCGAGGAAGACTAACCGGCACAATCGTTTCCGATCTAGGCGGAAGAACAATCTTCTCAAGGCTGTACACGTTCCCTGGTAACGCTCCTTCCACAAAAAGTACCTCTTGTCCACATTTCAAGACACCTTGCTTAACGTCAATCGCACAACAATTCTTCCTCATGAAGTCTAGGCCCAGGATGCAGTCGTCCATTATATCAGCCACGATGACATTATGCAGGTAGATCATGTTGCCTAGCTTCAACTCCATCTCTTTCTCTCCACGGACGGGTATACGCTGACCGGTGGCTGTTACCAAATTAATGCGTTCTCGGTTGTATGCGGAGTCCCCAAGGAACTGACTTATTAGTTGGGAACTAACAACTGTACGAGAGGCTCCAGTGTCTATGGTCAGTTTACACGGCATTCCGTTGACCTCGCCCTTGATGATTAGACTGTTCCCATCGTGGGTTTGTGAGATCGAGATCCTTGGGGCTCTTTTAACATCAGCCAGCACCCGCCCCGCAGTTCTGGCTTTTACTCGTTTCCCTGCTGCTGCTGGGCGGTGCTGTTGGCCGCACTACCCTCCTGAGATCGTTCACCTTCCCTTTCTAGGGTTCGCTTAGGGCAGCTGGATCGAAGGTGGCCCTTTTCCCCACAGCCATAGCACCTAGGGCTGTATCCTTTATTGCGGTCGCGAACTGTAGCTGCTGCAACCTCCCTGACGCGATAGGAACGATGATCCTGCCGCACGGCTTCCACCTCCAGTGCATGGGCCAAGGCGTCCTTAAGCATCTCGTGGTGCCCGAGCCTCACAGCAGCTCTGACTTCCAGGTCGCAGATGCCGTCGATGAATGTCTGCAGCAGGTTCCCTTCAATGAGCGAAGGTACAGACCGGTATGCTTTTTGCACCAGCTTCTCCACCTCTAGAGCACACTGCTGCAGGTTTTCGTTGATGCGCTGCACGCGATCTTTAAGCTGCGCACGAAAGACGTGTTCCAGGTGAGCGTCGCCATATCTCACCTCCAATGCCTCAAGGAGTTGCTCATAAGTCACTTCCTCACCGAGAGCTTCCAGAACAGTTAAGGCCTGGTCGCGCAGGTCTAGTTTGAGAGCAGTCATGGCCTGACTTTTATTCCAGCCGTTCGCCTCCATGACAGCCTCGAACTGGATTTTGTAGGCCGACCAGGAATAAGTCCCGTCAAACGGCGGCACTTTGAACCCACGTAGCGAAGGTGTAGTAGTTACTACGGGAGCTGTAGTTCCATCACCCAGTTTGAGGTCGTCCAGCGTTTTCTTCACGTCAGCCACCACGTAATCAACCCGATTGTTCACTTTGGGTTTTAGCTTCCTTGATTTGGGTTTCAGCTTCCGACAGGCGGTTGTCATGTTGAGCAACCCTATCCTTCACCTCCTTTATCTCTTTTCCAAAGGTAGCATGAAGGTCCTTAATGATGAGCATCTGCTCTTCCGACCGACGGGCCTGTTCCTCCTGTCGGCGGGGCTGTTCCTCTTGTCGGCGGGCCTGTTCATCCTGTTCACCTCGCAGCTGCTCTTACAACCGACGGACCTGTTCCTCCTGTCGGCGAGCTTGCTCCTGCAGCATCACCATCAGAGCACCTAAGTCAGGTGCTGCAGATGTAGGAGCTACTGACGGGCCTGCAGCCGGCGGCTGTCCTTCCGAAGTCTGCGACGTTGCACCACCAAATCTTCTTTAGTCCGTCTCCTGCTGGCGTTGACTTCGGGTACGGACACCCTCCGTTTCCTCCTTAGGTAAAATCGGCATGATTTTATCCCACTTCTGACACTAATTGTTACGAGCTTGATGTTCGTGACAATAAAAATTGCCAATAGAATTACCTAAATTAACGCTTTAATTTTCTTTACACAAATTAAAACTTAAAACACTAATAATTAAGCACACTAATTCACTTTATTCCGCTCCGAAGCTTCGCTTGTCTCGCCAAATCCAATACTTCCTCGATCGCATCTTGCAGCGCCTATTTATATAAATTAGCAGTGAAATATCCAGAATATTCAAGTAAACACGCGCAAGGTACCGAGAGTTTGTGTTTCAACTTCAAGAAGTTTAGTTCTTCGGTTCGAGACTAGATGGCGCTAGTGCCGTCGACTTAAGCGCGTAACAATATATATCTAAGGTATAATCTAAGAATCTTTTATATATCTAAAGATATTAAAAGTTACTTTGCAACCATCCGCTCAATAAACTAAAATGATGTGTCTTACCTAGTTTGAAGAGCAGCTCCCGCCCTCCCTCAATTGCGTGCACTAATCCGGTCACCACTGGTGAAATATCGATTCACTGGACCGATTCAGCAACATAATCGATTTTCTGCACAAGAAATCGATTCTTAGATTTATCGATATCCGATCAGCCCGTTGAAAAAACTGATATTTTGAAAAATCTCGGTACACCATAGATAAGAGTGCGGTAATTCGGTTATAAAAACAATTCAACTCATAGATAAATAAATATGTAGCAAGCTAATTTAATTATATTAAAACTACAGATTATAGGAATGGCCTTTAGTGAAATTTGTAGAATTTGCTTACGCGTCAATGTGCGAATGTTTGTACTAAAGAAGACTGGCCTCCAAAATTTGTATAAAACATTGACGAACAGTTTTGTAAGTTTGACTTTGATAATACTTCTTATTATTGCAAATTAAAGTTGTTATCACTGGAAATATATACATATATAACTTACATGATATAAAATGCGATAGATCAGAGTTAGACTAAGGTGCAGCGTTATATAAAATGACAAATTTGAATTTGTACAATACGTGAAAAACAACAATTAGGCTCGAATCCTACGTTACACTAAAATCACCATTAGTTTTACCCACCTAAACCCGTTCTATTGAACTATAAGTAAGTGCATATGTGCTTTAAGACGTAGAAATTACCTCACTCATATTCCTATCAGACTGAGAAGAGGTAATAATATTATAATCATGTCCTTCGCTGATGAATAGTCTCTGTTGTGACCAAATTAGGCTAATATTTCCAATATGGACCATCGATTTCAAAGCCCATATTTTTTTTTTGTAGATATTACTCACTAAAAGAAAGCGTTTTGCAAAGTTTTAGGTTGCGGAAACTTATGGTTCATGAGATATATTTTTTTAAACTTTTCATACAAATTGGTAAATAACACACAATTACAAAATAAATTTGACAAATGATTGATGTCAAACGTCAGTTAGTGTAGGGTTCCGAATATTTTGAAAGTATCGATACCTACTAGATACCAAGTATCGCATCAAAAGTATCAATACTACTTGGTATCGAGTACATTTCGTTAATTTTGGAGACGAAAAATTATGACAAACCAATTAGATGCATAGGAAGAGCTGATAAGTGCAATTATATATGTATATAAAGTAGAATAAAGTTTACACTATTTAAGTTCCACCTTAGTACTTGTATTTCATTGTTTGCAACTTGTTTGTATTTCTTAATTAGTACAGCTTTTGTACTTTTATTTTATTGTTTGCAACTTTCTGTATTATCTAATTATTACTACAATAAAGTGTTTACTTACTTATTGACTTACTTATTTAATATCCAAAAAGTACCCAAAACCGAATCAGAGCACCCCACTATCCACGTGGTCTTGTCTGCCCTACCCCTAGAGTGTATATAAGAGCCCGGAGGCGCGGAGGGAGAGCAGTGCCCGCCCGCCGTAGGGAAGCGCAGGCACCGAGATCGCCGTAGCGGCTGAGCCGAAGCTGCGAAGGCGAGCCCAGGTGCCTGTGCTTCCCTACGCTAGGGCGGAGGCACTGCTCATCCCGCAGCTGTCACGGAGCGCCGGGGCACAACTTCCCGGCTTCTTACCCCCCTAGTCTCCAAAATTAACGAAATGTACTCGATACCAAGTAGTATTGATACTTTTGATACGATACTTGGTATGGAGTACGTATCGATACTTTCAAAATATTCGGAACCCTACACTAATTGACGTTTGACATCAATCATTTGTCAAATTTATTTTGTAATTGGTGTAATTGCCAATTTGTATGAAAAGTTTAAAAAAATCTATCTCATGAACCGTAAGTTTCTGCAACCTAAAACTTTGCAAAACGCTTTCTTTTAGTGAGTACTATCTAGAAAAAAAAATATGGGCTTTGAAATCGATGGTCCATATTGGAAATATTAATCCCAAATTATGTCTGTAGGGCATTATTATCATAATTTTATATGTAGTAGAGTTTGCTGCAGCTATATTGTGGTTGTATCACGGATGGGTAGGCTCAACAGGCTATGTACCATGCTCTTACAGAACACCATCATAAAATAGCAGCTAATGCTGTTTCGTATGGTGAGTGTAGAGAAAGGGAGACCATATATACTGGTGACCAATTGGGCAACAATTAATTGAGGGTAAATATAATATATCGAGCCGTTACCGCCAAATGATCGTAAGCGACACTTTTGTCGAAAATGCTTTTTTTATCGTAAGTAGTATTTTAAACCATAGCAGATCTATCCCTGTTGACATTTCCCGCCAAAATTTAACCGTTATAAAGTTGTAGCAAGTGCTAAAATTATCGTAAATACATATACTTTTAAAGCCATAATGTAAGCGACAACAAGCATTTTTATCGTAAGCGTCTTGCAATCAATTTTTTGTAGCGCAAGTGACACTACTTGTTATCGCAACCGATATAGGTGATAGACTATGAGGCATTTACTATAAACAAACCTGTCATGACCTGTTTATTTCCATGAAAGTAATGCGACAAAAACATCATTCTCATTGAATTGTAGCAAAAAAATCATTTTCAGCCATAATAACATTTTAAATTGTATTAATTATTGTTTCCTTATTGTGTTTTAAATAAAGTACAGATAGTTAACTCCAAAACATCAAATAAAACAGCAATGTCGACTCCTGCAGCTAAGGTATGTTTTGTGTTTTAATTTTGGTAATTGAATTGGGGAATCTTGGAACTGCTTTTCCCGAGAACGTACAGCAAGATAAGGCCCCATCTCTAGATCAATTCTTACTAACAGACAGTTACAACAATATTGACATGGACCCAATATTAACTGATACGACATCACCTTCGTTGATCGATTATATTTATGATACCGATTTAAATTCTGAGCTCAATATTAACGCATTATTAACACCATTACCTCAAACTAAACTTGTTGAATACAGTGATTCAGATACTGAGAATACTTACACTTTAATGGATTTAGATAGACCAGAACATAAAAGACAACAACTTATGATCCTACTATGCCAGCTTTCATTAATCAATTAATACTGCCGAGCACCAGTTCACTGTTTGACCAACAAGAACTAAATGTGTCCAAGAATTTGGAGACCCACAACAGCATTACCTCTATTGACAGAGAAGATTTATGGAACCCTGCCTCATCTTCCAGTGATTCGGATGAAGATAAGTCAGTTCAAACAGTAGAAGAAGAAACAAGTGTTGGTAAAAGATGATATAGGAAAATAAAACCTTTACTAAAATGACTTTTAGCAAAAAAAAAATCATAAGGCTGCTGTAGGGAAATCTATACAACCAAACCGTTGTATGAATAAAAAATGTGGTAACTCATGTGCAAATAAATTTGTGGAAGATGATCGCAATAATATTTTTGAAAACTATTGAGGATTAGGTTGTGATAAAAGACAAAAAGATTTCCTGCTGTCTTGTACTAAATAAAATCGGATTGGAAGAAAAAGATCCAGTAGTAATGTTCGCAAAATATCATACGATTATTTTATCAGCTACAATGGACAGATTATTAAAGTATGTCAACAATTTTTGCTTAAGACCCTAAACATATCCCAAATGTTAATGAGATACACCATCGAAAATGCTAATAAAGCTATGAATACCAGTCGAGATGGCAGAAGAACTAGTCGTCCTCATAATAAATCTGACGAGGTAGAAGTCGCTCAATTAAAATCAATTATTGCCTGCTGTTTCATCCCATTATTGTCGCAATAAAAGCACTAAAGTATATTTACCTCAAGAATTTCAAAATATATCGTTTTTGTATTTACAGTATGTAATCACGTGAAAGAAAATAATCCAGAATCATCAGTATTATCAAAAAGAGTATTTCGTAACATTTTCAAAAGGGATTTTAATATCGGATTGCATCTGCCTAAAAAAGATAAATGTGGTTTTTGTGAGAAGTGCAAAAATTTACCACCTGAGAACTAATTATTTTTGATCATACCCCTGAATATAAAAATCACATTCGAGATAAAGAAAAATGTAAACAACTGTTTTTAGAAGATCAAAAAATGAGCAAATTAACTGATTCTAACTCGTTATGCGTAAGCTTTAATTTAGAAAAAGTCCTGAATACTCCACACAGTAAAAGTGTTACCCTATACTATTCCAGGAAGTATGCATACTATAATGAAAGTATATACGAAAGTGGTACAAGGGAAGGTTACTGTTACCTGTGGGGTGAATGCGACGGAAAAGAGGCTGTAATGAAATTGTTACAGTCCTTTTTAAATACTTGATTATGGTAGACCAAAGAGGTACCCATACAGAGATAAATTTATACTCCGATTGCTGTGCCAGGCAAAATAGGAATCGAGCAATGATATCCATGATAATTCAATTCTTGAAAACCGCAATTACTATTACACAAATAAAGGTAACTTATCTTTAACGGGACAGACCATGATGCCTGTTGACTCAATTCATAGCACTATTCAATGTTTTGTGCGTAATAAAACAGTATGGGCTCCTTTTCAGTGGCCAACTATGATTACTAATGCTAGAAATAAGCCTAGAAACTGCAATGTAAATGTTTTAAACTATGGAGACTTTATAGATTGGAAGAATTTTTCACAAGCTTTATTACCAGCAAAATTTAAGATTAATTTTAATTCATTAAGGGTGGTGCAATGTCATAAAAATAATCCCATTGTTAAATTTCAATACGGTTTTTTCGAATATAGTGACAATTACGAAATAAACATGGATTTCATCATCAGATTGAGAGCAAACAAAGCTATTGTGGAAAAGAGTACCTTTATACGCCGAAGAGCTCAAACTTTCATTAGCTAAATACAAAGATTTACAGGATCTGTGTAACAAAAATTTTGTGATTCCAAACAGATACCATCAAGAATATTTAAGTATGAAGCATGATGGAAACGTACGTGATGCTTTAGCTGAAACAGATGAGGATGAGGAGAATTAAAAATATTCAATTTAATTTTATATTAATACAACATTGATCTCACTAATCAAAATGATTGATATAATTATTTAATTAATGTTTTGTGTAAAAACCATGATAACCCTGGTGTTCAGTGAAAACGGGCTAAGATCATTCGTACGAGAAGAAATACTTTATTTCATTTTAAATAACTAGGTAAGTTTATAATTATGCTGATTGATCACATTACTCCAATTGTTTAATAGAAATAAATTTTCATTTTCAATATTTTATAACTATTTCGTTTAAACGCCTTTTAAAATATCTATTTATTTATCAAAATATAGTTTATTGTATTAGTAATATTAATGGATATTTTTATCGCAAATGCCAAAACAACCTTAGATTATGACAGCAAAAATAAATTAAGCGACATAAATAGCTTAAATACTAAATATTTTTGTATTTTTTTCCATTATATATGTAAATGTCTGAAAAACAAATAATGTATGTAAAATTTCAATTTACATTTCTATTAAACATATTTAAAAAAAACTCCTGTAAAATTTGTTTTTTGTCGGTTGCGCTAAAACGGCGGTAAAGGCTCGATATGTCCATGGGCCGCAGCATTCACTTTCCATCAAGTGGACTGTGTACATGTTTAATTAAATCACCCATAAATTCTATAAAACAAATTATTTAGCAGGCCAGCAGTTGAAACAACTGATATAACTCTGTATTCAAATCTGTAGTTGTTCTATTTTATTTGTTTATCCAATCTGTTCTAAAATTGACTTTTGGTTTGAGCTGATATCATTTTTGTTGGCAGCTTGTTCCATACTTCAACCATTTTAGCTAAATAGGTGAGTTATTAGGTGACATAGCTTTAGTCAATTTAAAGTGAAGAAGTGTCCATGTATTATTTTAATGTCTTTCTGAAGTGTTACTATAAGTGTTTTCAGTCTCTCCTCATATGAGATGTTTTCAAATCTCTGGGAAGTTTTGAATATCTGCCTTGAACCTCCAGTAACTCAATATAATTTGGAAGGCACTTTCCAAAATAGGTTGAATATATGTTTTATATATTTTACGTATCATTTCTGGTGTTATTATTATTTGCCACAGTTGCTAGGCGGGTTGCCAACTACATTTTTTTAAATTATTCTTACCAGTAATGTGCAAAAAGCTGCTGCTCATATGCATTTGAAACTAAGGGACAGGGGGTAATAGTAGACCCCCCGCACGGGTTCCCGCCTTGTCGTGGCGGGGGGGCTTAGTAGCCGTGGCTTGGTCTCCCACGGTGAACAAAGAGGAAGCCTGAGGTGGCCACTCCGAGTGGGCTTGGGGAGCCCACTTCGGATGTGTGCTGGTGGACTGCAGCGAGTGGGGACTCCGAACCCTCTACAGCTGCAGCCGAGGTGGAGTCGCGGAGGAAGAGGAGTGTTGGTATGGCGATGCGCCACTCGCCCTATCCTCCGCGACTCAAACGGGGCCGCACCGTTGATGCGGTGGTGATGGGGCTGCGGGGGGAGAGAATTGTCGGTATTGCGAGGCGCCGCTCTCCCTATCCTCCACAGCCGAATCTTGGTTGGCGGCGGAGCCATAGACCAGATCCGCCGCCGGGGTCGGGAAGGCTAGTACTTCTAAGTGCTCGTTTTTCCTGGCCCCATGGCCTTCGCGCATCGGACGCGGGGGCGTCTGTTGCGCAGATGTAATTGGAGGCCGTGGAGGAAGGCGTGCCATGTGTTCTGATGCACCTTACTTGGGAAGGAGAACTGGGAGGAATATTCCTCTCCCGAGGAGGTGCTGCCATGGGGCGGCAGTCGCTGGTATGGCCGCGGAAGTGTGCGAAAGCGTTCCCGTAGCCCTGCCAATATGCGACGAAGGTGGAACACCATGGGGTTTTAGTCGGTGCGAGTCCGACATAACCCGTCCTTGCCCCCGCGAGGCGGGTATGCGTAGGCATTTCCCCATGTTAAAAAAAGGGTGTAATAGTAGAAGGTAAGGACTGCAAACTCCATAAAGTAGTAAGCTTAATCTGCCATTTGACTATTGTAAATTACTCCTAGTGAAAGCATTTACAGTTTACTTACAGCAAATGAGAGAAGTTAAAATATGAATTTAGGTTTATTATTCCTTTAGTCTTCAGTATATTAAATTTTAAGAGCGCCATCTACTTAATTCTATAGGTGAAGTCATTTTATCGAACGAAAATTGATAGATTCTCACGGTGGTACATAAAGATTACGCTAGATGGCACAAACACGCTATCGGCTAATTTAATAATTTAATATTTATTGTATAATTATGATTCAATTGAAAAGGTAATATATATATATATATATTACCTTTTCAATTGAAAATGAATAATTATATAATAAATAGTCATTATTTAATGGTAAAAAAATTTGCAAAGCTTTATCTTCTCATTATGCCTTATCTAATTCCTGTTTTAATCTGTTCTTCTGTGCATATAATTTAAACAAAATAATTTCGATGTTTCACATCTGCCAGGCGTCCCTTTTTATAATTTTGTACATAGTTTGTTTGTACTTTGTTCATGCTTTTCTTTTGTTCATGTATTGTATTGTATGTAAATATCTTTTTCTTTTGCTTAAGCAAACCCAAACGGAACTTTTCAAAGCCACCGAAGCTATGCATTGCATATGTCATACAATATATCTAGCGGTAGTATGCCTTCTGTGTGCTTTGTTAAACACGACCTCGACAGAACTGAATATGAATCTGAAGAGTGGAGACAGATCAAGATTGGTGTATTTTTATAAAACTGCTAAAAACAACAAAACCATATTTTGGGCTTGCCCTAGTTTGGAGCCCTAGCTTCACCACTGAATCTATTGCTTTTAAAATTATATCTCTTAACGTCATAGATACTCCTATGTACTTGACACTCACAATGTTTTAAATCAATTAGAGAATTGTGTCAATATAGCATGCAGAACTGACATCAGAAGGGGAAATATAATTCTCGAGCGGTAGCCTCATATTGCTAAGCAAATGTAGAGTAGCCCCCCACTAGATAGTGGCAATCTGGTTAGACAGGAAGTCAATGGATTTAGGTGGTTTGGATATAGTAGGACTTGTTTCTGCCTGGAAGTCTGCCTGGGTAGTAATAATCCTCTTACCTGTTTCTGCCACAAGCAGCATTATTGTCCTAGCCTGAAGGACGAAGAAGGAAGAAGAAGAAGTCACTTCAATATTATAAAAAATGGTATTGATGAATAGAATTGTGGTAGCCAATAGATATTAATACTAACTTGTATATTTAAGTAGTTTCCCATATTTATGATGAACTTTCATATTTTCAGAGGGATGAAGATGAGGAGCCCATAATTGTCTGTTTCACCTGTCGTGCAAGACTCGTTCGTTGCAGGAGATTGCAACAACTGGCTATTGAGTCGAATGCAGTTCTGGAGCAGTTGCTTGTAGGAGGGTCCATGATATTATTTATTCCATCCATTAAAACTTGTGAAAGTCCCTCATAGATTGTGTCACATGAGGGATTTTGCCAAATTTGTCACGCTTGGCTGGATGGCAACCACAGTTCGTATTACTCTGAGATGTTATCAGGAAGATGCTGCTGCCCAAATCCTGTTTCTGTTTCCCTCTGTTGCCTCTTACGATACCCATCCCGTGGGTAGATGTATATTCTTGTAGGTAGTAGGTAGTGGATATTCTTACACTGCTACTACTTGGTCCACAGTATTGTACTTCTTATTGATAAAAGTTCACTGCTTGATGATTCATTCCCATTATAATGAAGTATTTGCCTTAATCATCACTTGGCAGGCACCTTGATGATCACTACCTGTCTTGTGCCTTCTATGCTGTTTCGCTTTGTCATATGAGAGAATGTTTTTCTACTGCAAAGTAAATTTTCTTAAAGCAATGTTCTATATTTGACGAATTACAGTGAGTTAAGTACTTCTTTTTACATAAATAATTTATGTTATATATTACTCTTTGTATATAAATGAAATAATGTCTATATGTAATATCATGCAGTGAACAAATATTTACC